GAGTTAGTCATCAGATCAAGATATGTTTGTGTGCCAATTAAACATATAGATATCAGAGAGAGAGAGAGAGAGAGTCAGTGTGTGTCAAGTAGAATCTACCAGTGGCACAAATGGAGCTGTGGGCAAGCAAGCTTCTCCAGAGGAGAAAACCTTATTCATTGAACCAAAACCACAATACTTTCCACTACTCTGAGTATTGCAATGTGAATCTGTAGGGCAATCTCTCGATTGTTTAAGGCCAGAGGTGGCAGCAGCCAAGTAAGCAAAACCTGTAGCAACATGGTCAGGATATTGCTTGAAGTACTTCAAGGGAACAGAGTTTGTCAAAGCCCCATTCAGAATAGGATAAACCGGTAGCTCCTCGGGCAAGAAACCAGTAGCCAAACCCTCATATAATTGGTCCTGAATATATGGGCCACACATCTGACCATTGTGATTGACATACATCCATCCAGTCACATACGAAGGCAAAGAAGATAAAGTATGGGTTTTATTATCATTTGAAGAGCCACTGACAACAAAAGACTGGTTAACATCGCCACTGTTGCCATTTGACTGGCAGCTTATCTCTGTTCTGGAGTTTGAACCAACTTTTTCATCGCCGTCGCAGCAAGCTGCAAAATTGTGGGAGTCATTCAGGCACCTGAGCAATCAAAAGCCGTAGAAGATGAGCAAAGTGACATGATACGGAGGTAAAAGCAGTAAAAAACAGGAATCCATCTTAAATTGCCAGTAGACATTAAATTACAACAATGGGACATTACCCGAGGCTCAGTTCCATGGAGGATTCAACATCACTGAGGTGGTCTTTATCAGGAACGACTGAGGAAGCTACCTTCATTCTTTTTCTAGAAGAGAAACAGGCTTCGTATTCATGGAGCAGAGTTGTGCCCTCAATATGGCGGCAACAAAGCAGTGAAGAAACCATAACTTTCTAAACCAACAAAAGCTGCAATTGTTCATAAATTAGTTACCTAATTTAGATCCTGACTAAAGAGGAAAACCGGACTCACTACTTTGTCCAGTTGTTAATGAAGAGAAAGGGCAGCTAAACGTGAGGCGTTTTTAACGAGAAATACTTTTGCCAATTATTAAAATGATAATGATAATATGAATTGAGAGACGGTTCTCAATTTGCCCATCATCGGGATGACAATTCATCAGATTAATGCGAACGAAAAGACACTGTATTCTATCAAGCTTTGAGTTTTACTCCAACACTATAATATAAAATTCGCAACGAAAGAAGCGTATAGACAAACACAGACAATCCAAGAACGACAATTAAGTTCAAATACACAAACTCGGACATAAATGCGCACGCAAAACAACGCTACATTCAAGATAGATACGAGAGTTACAAATTAGGCCCCAGATAGATTCCAAATATTTGGATTGTACTTACTTGTCGTGACTGGTGAGGACGATTGATTCGTTCTGAAGATAATTGCAATTGGAGCGAGCAGCGCAGCCGCGGGTACAATGGTGGATAAGCCTTACCGGAAAACGAATCAAGAGGTCGCCTAAATTGTTGTGGTGGAGAACCACGGAAACCGGCGGGTCTAATAATCTAAAGCACACGCTCTCGGCGATATAGGACACACGCACTCAGGCATTGGATGCTTGCAACTCTGGAAGACTGGTTATATTAACGCAAACCTCCCTGAGGTTTATCTTTCTCGTAATTGCGGTGACCTCCATAATCCATTGCAATTTTTTTTTTTTTTATAGCGTAGGTGGGAGGGCTCAAACCGGCACCACCCAACCCCACGGTCCATTGCATTAGGCATGTCAATGGCAGCTTCTGAGTTGGATTCTTCAATCTAAATTCAAATCCATTAAATTTGATCGAACCCAAACTCAGATCTAAACCCTTATGAATCTAAAAAAATATATTCAAAACCAAATCCTTCTATTCAGGGGTACCAATGGATACTCGCTATATTTTTATAAATACATTAAAGTAGAAATATACAGATTTCAAAAAAAATATAAATATCATCCAATTTTTTTTTAAATAATAAAATTAATATTCAAGAAGTTGAATGTAATATTATAAACTCAAAATATAACTATTATCGATTGCTTCGATTTATTTTTAAAACTTCAATTGTATTTACATCCAATCTTTAATTTATTTGTTTTTACTTACTTTTTCTCCTTTTTCTAAAAAAAATTGTACTAATTACAATAACAACTAGGACTAGTTTGAAAAAAGAAAACAATCATGAAATCTTACTATATTCAATCCAATGATTGTAAAATATTAGAATGTTTTATAAAATTTAATTATATATACATGGACTGGATAGGCTATGGCATGAGTTTGGATTTGGATACGAATCATAGAAAACCAAACCCTATCCAGATCCATAACTCTTTTACACGGTTTGGAATCCAAACTCTATCCAAGTACATTAGGTCTAAGTTGAATCTAAATAAAATTCGATTCATTGACATACCGCAACTTTGAAACTACTAATAATTAACAATAAGACTACTATATATATATATATATATATATATATTACAGCAGCAAACAAATCGTAAAGGTTTTTTTTTTTTTTAAAGGAAATCGAAAGGGTCAATTACACTAAACCCCTTGTAATTAGGGTAAGTTGCACTTTGTCCACATTTTTTATTTCATCATCACTTTGCACTCAAATCTGATGAACAAGCAATGGTCAACTTGTTCCAAAAAAAAAAAAAAAGAGTTGTTGATAGAATAAAAGGAAGAGTCCTATTTGTCTTTTCATAAACTACGTTGCGTTTGATAAAATTGAAATATGAAATATAAAATTTAAAACTTAAATCTAAATTCATTAAATTACTAAATATGATATATATACTTAATAAGTGTATATCGTATTCTTATTTTGTTTGGAGCAAGTGTCATTCAATTAATTCAGATATTCTAGTTTTTGTTATCAAACAAATACAGCATAGTAATCTGAACGCATTAAGTTTAAGTGTTGAATTAAATTATTAAACAGGGCCTAACTCACTTTTTTTATCTCTTGGCTTTTCAATTTCATCATGTTATGGTATAGGGTAGTGAACACAAGTGTGAGATTCAAATTCAAGATTTCCTACTCATATATAAAAAAAAAGGTCATAATGACCCATTTCCCTCCTATCCTATTATTTAGCAAATTTAGGATTTTTTTTTCAAATGTTTTCTATTCCTTTTTTTCTTAGTAATCATTTATACTAGATAATTTTGTTCGTTTCCAATACAAGATTCATCATATAATTTGAGACTTGCATAATAAGCAAAACTTGCAATATATATGGGTTAAAACATAAGAAGTAATTATTCAAATGGAAATTAAAGACTACCTTATTTGATAATTCAATTCAATATTTAAATTTAATGGGTCTAGATTTTAAAATGTTCAAATGCGTTGAATAATCAAAAGTAGAACATATGAATTAATTAAGTCATACTGAATTTTCTAAACAAAATTTTGTGATACATCACTTATTATTTAATGTGATATATACTCAAATGTATTACAATTAATATTTAACAACTCATTAACTTTCAGATTTCAAATTTTAAATTTCAGTTTTCAGATTTCACGCCTTAACATAGGCAAACAACAAAGCCTATTTCTTTCTTCTTCTTCTTCCTTAATCATTGACGTTGATTCTTAGTCAACAACTTGAGAGAAAATAACTATACTTTTTTCTCCGAGTTTTATGTTCTTTTGATATTCTTCTCTATTTGGATTGAAAAAAATATACACATAAAGTGCATGTAATCTCGTAATCAACATATTTAGATACACATTGACAAATTATAGCACTAGTGGATTTGAACGCATGTCAAATTATTTAAATTTAAATTTGAACTTCAAATTTGACATATATTCAATGATGATATCTCAATTGTGTTCTTACCGCATGCACAGTAGAAATACGAAATTCTCCTAATCAACGTCTCTATTTTTTTGGGTATCTAATTTTCTTTTTTCATAATGGTATTCCCTAATATGAGGATCCGATGTAGATAAAAGCCAGCAAATGTGGAAAAAGACATGTTTGTTTGGATTGTAAGTTATTTGAGATATTTTTACTGTAGTACTTATTGTGATGTGATGTATGTGAGATAAAAAGGTAATTGAGAAGATAAAAAGGTGTATTGAAAATTGTAATGATGATGTAAGCAAATATATTTGGGAAAATAATCAGCTGTCCAAACAATTGACAAAGAATTGCCCTCGTTTTGATTGAAGATAATTTGGAAAATTGTGTTTGGAGTAGCCATCATGCAGCTTTCAAAAATTTAAAAATGTAGTTTGATGTCCTTTAATAGAACATAACCCTTGAGCTTAACTCAGTGGCCACCACCAAAGCCTTAAGGTACCCTGTCTCCCACCATTTGCCACTAAAATGTGGCAGGCCACTTCACGTGGCAACCGGACAAATGCGCAATGCATTTGTTTGGACCGATAGGTGGTTCAATTCCCTTCGATTTCTCTTTGGACTGGGCCTCTTCAGGTAAATGTAGGATCTATTGTTGCAGGGAAAAAAAAATGGACCTTAATAGAACATGAAATTTTGGAACGTTGACTAAACCGTGGCATCCCCCCTTTACATATATGCAGATGATTTCAAAGAGGTGAAATATTGGATTGTCTGCATAATTTTTTTTTTCTGGTACGTTATTAGAACTTCAAAAAAAAAAGGGAAAAAAATTGATGAGACCATAGCAAGATAGTAGCTGAAATTTGAAAATGAAAGGTGCTTGACTGACATACCAAATACTTTTTGCCATTTCAACCTCATTAATCTACAGGATGGTTCAGTCCCCGTCAAGTTCCCTTAGTTCAATTGGACCACCCTCTAGCGTAAGTTCCCCCTTGTGTAGGAGTAGGAGTAGCAGGGGAGTAGACTAGATATGCCGTTACGGAAAAAAAAAAAATCATTAAATCTGCTACTACTTTAGCTAAAGAAGGCCAAAACAAGACGAGCCCATTTAAGCAACCAACCAGTCGTCACGAACAAGTCAACAAGAAGTAGCATATTTTTCCCTGCCTTGAACACGTAAAACTTTCGTCCACTTCATGTGCTGTGCCGGTACATGCACTATGTACATCACTCCTACATTATTTCCAGTGTCTTAAGATATTCCTGATTCAACTTCTTAAATTTCTACCCTATATTTCAAGAACTTGCAGCAAAAAATTATGTGAAAATAAGTGTAACACACACACACATTAGTGCATATCCAGATAATCTCTCCATGCAGTTAAAAGTTGACATCCAGCCACTGACCGTCGTTCCCTTTTTTTTTTCATGTCTTCACATTTTTGTTTACCTGGTTTGTATCTCTGCTGCGATTCTTCTTCTGGTCTATGTTTCCCTTTTGAAGGTGGGGAAGTGGGGTGTCAGTCGGTTGGTTCTTTAAAAAAGTTATCCTGCCAGTGGGAATGTAAAGTTGGAAGGAGAATTAACCACCTCTACTATGAATAGATGCCATCAGTTCAGCCAGCTGCTTACCCTCAAGCTTGGATACAAGTTCGATGGGGACAAAATGTTTAGGTAGATCTGATAGATCTTCATCCCTAAAATTGCGAAGAAGCAGAAGTTTTCTTGCTTCAGAAGCTGCAGCATCAGCTTCTGCAAGTAAAACATCAGCTTCTTCAAGGTCACCTAACTCTATAGCAGCAAATCTTTCGGCTGTAGCAGCTTCAGCGATTAGAGTTAGTCTCTGGAATCTAGCCATTTCCAATTCCTTTTCTCTCAATAAAACCTGTGATTCAGTTTGTTCAAGTCTGTTGACTGTATTGCAAATCTGTTCTTCAAGCTGCTGAAGCTGTGATTTGGCGTCCCCCATCTTTATCCCTATTCCCACCCTTTCAACAGAGAGTGCCTTCACTTCGGTGGCTATACGTGCTGCTTCTTTAAAATTTCTGGTAGTTGCAGCAACTTTCTTCTCAGCCTCCAACTCAGGGAGTCTTTTATCTATAAAGAAAAGCCTCTGTTTACAGGATTCAACTTCCTGTTGGATGCTTGACTTTGACGAGGACAGCTCCTACGATCACACAAGCAACTCACGCACATATAAGTACACGAGTATATATCATAAACATATATATACACAAATACATATTATAGATGCACGCGTGGACACACACATATGTAGATAGACAACAGGCATCTGAATGTGTGTGCACAAGAGAGAGTGTCTCAAACGAAGGAAAAGTTTAATAATGCACTACAACAGGTAGCTGAGTTTCTTTGCTGTCATTAGGCAGAATATGGATTAAAGAAGGAAGATTATACTTATATAAGCTTATCAGTCAAGAGATTTACATTTGTGCATTATTTGCAGAAACTTCGGTGAAAAATGAGCATAAATATAAAATGAAGTTCTCACATTCATATAATCTTAAGCATTTAATTCTTCTAAAGCAAGATTACCATAGGGCTCTAGCTATATATCATGTCCTAAAAGAAGAGGACATGATCATTTAATAAGAAATCTAGCTTGTCCCCTTTCTGGCAGGTAAAATGAGACCAATTGTTCTAAAGAAGATAGATACAAAACACAAACAGCGAACCAACTTCAGATCATAAGGGATACCAACCTCAAACAACAAATATACAGTACCAAGTGCTTTGGAGTTTGAATAAATTAAAAACTTGATTCAAGATATATCTTTTAAGCAATCACCTCGTCCTCCCCCCAACAAACACCAAGCAAGAACAAGAGAAAACAAAAGAAAATTTCATTAATATTGATATATGGAATTTCAAAACCCAAAGTAAAAGGAATCTTTCTTTGCTAATTATCATAGTAAATTCCCATCCAAACCAGTTTTGAATCCTTCCCCATGCTTCCCATCCCAAAAAATGGGGGAAAAAAGTAAATTAAATATCTAGAGGTTTGAAAATTTATCTGTTACTCAAGTACAGAAATATCTCCTTCAACGTTGCCAGAGCTAATAAAACAATATGACTCCTGAACAAACCCAAAAATTAAGCTCAAAATTGATTTAACAGAATTTTTGCAAAATTTACTGTCAAAGATCATAGCAGACAGCCAGGGTTTCACATTTATAAATTTCAAAACCTCTAAGTTTGGATAATGATGGCTAAAGTGATTCCTTAGGCTATCACATTAGTGCTTTGGCAGAAATAACACAAAAACTTACTCCAAGCTGCTAAAACACTTGAGGCACGCAAATGTTTATTGATTAGATTTGAAATCATCTCCTAATATATGATTGTCTAACCTTAGCAGCCTATAGTTAGACCATCTTGTACAAGCAAATTCAGAAAAGCATCCATCATTCATTTCATTTATACTTTGGGCTCAGATAGCAGACCCCACCATCTGACTATTTGAGCCCTCTATGTTGGAATATTGATGATGGAATATTTTTAGTCAGATAAAATCTCTCATCTACATGCTGGCATTACAAGAACTTTTGAAACAAAAATGTGTCTTTCTTAAGAACTTGAACACAGGTTTTGAAGCAGTACCAACCTGGAGAGAAGCTCTAGCAGATGAAATTCCAAGTTTGAGCATATTGACATCCTCGGTAAATTGTTGTTCGGTCTTAGAAAGCTTCATTTTATCTTCAATGAATTTCTGAATAAGCTGCAGCATGCTCTTCCGAAGCCCAACAACATCTTGACAAATGCTTGCTTCAATTGCTGAGATTCTAGAAATTTCTCTGATCTCTTCCCCCCTCACTTCCTCCTGAGAGAGGTCATCATCAATTTGTTTCTTCTTATTAGTTAAAAGTTCGTGCTCCAAATCCAGCTGACGAAGGTCTAGCTCCAGATTGTTATGCTTTTCATCCAAGCTTGAATGCACCTGTTCAAAGTTCGAGAAGACACCATCAATCCTTCTTTCAACTGTTTCAATTTTAGAATTATTTTCTGCTATTTCAGCTTCCTTTTCTTTTACTAAAGCAAGCAGTTTCTCCAGTTCGTCCGCCAAAATTTCTCGTTTTATGTAAAGAATATCTCTTTCTCGATGATCGTCTTCCACCGAGAGCTCAATGGAGTTGTTTAAAGCTAGTCGTGCTTCATTTATCAGCTGGGATTCAATCTCCAATTGAAGTTTTTTTAGCTCTAACTCCTCAGTAGATAAAAGCCATTCCTCTGTTTCCCTCAAAGACACAGCTTTAGCATTCTCTAGGACTAAATCTGCACCATTTGAAGCATCCTAACAAAAGCAATGTACAAAATTTTCACCTTCAAATGAAAGTAACATATATGGAAAATTTTTGAGTGCACAATCTAAAACATATTGATGGATTTAGTGCAGCAATAAAATTTTACAAAGTCAATCACATACAGCACTATGCTTGGAAGTTCAACGGAGGGCAGAAAAATCGCGACATTACATCGCCATACTCAGTGCCCAAGGCGTGGGTAACTGAGCCATGTGAAACTGTCACTACTGCCACCTTCCATCAGGACAAAATTATAAGTTCTTGTCAAATTAAAGGAAGTAAAAAACAGAGAGAGAAGGGAAAGAGCAAAGTGGCTTTTCAGAAAAAGAGATATTCATTCTGCTGGGTTAAGGAAAAGATAAAGATTTCTGTCCCATTATTTATTTCTTTCTAATTTAGTAAAGAACGCTGACGAATGGCAATCAAATAAAACTGTAGCCTTGATGGATTTGACGAAAAGTGGGAACCTCGTGACTCAAGGAATGACACATTCTTTGGCTACTGTTTTTTAATTTTAGTGAACCAACCTTGAACGTTATGGAAATGGTAATGGGATGCCCATGAAACAAACAAATCCTAAAGTACTGGTACAGCATAGTCCATCAATCCAATTTTACCTCAACTTTCTTCAATTTCAAACCACTTTGAACTCTTTAGTCTTTTTCTTAGACATAGAAAATCTGTCATCCCAACTTTGATAACATAACATTCTGGCAGAAAAGCATTTAAAATATTGTGACTCATGTTCTTCATTTTATGAATATTTACTAGAATAGAGTATATACTAGCCGAGTGTAATCAAAGAATAAACCTATGCCAACAATTTAACAAATGACAGATCCTCAATCCTTGATTGCATGTCTATGAAATCTCTACCTTTGTGTACATTCTTTTCTAATAGCTATACTTTTAAACTGGTTTCTTCATCTCATTCTGAGATGAATCTGCAGCAAATTCAACCATATAGTGGTGCTTATGCTAGAGAAGTCTTTGTTGTTTATTCCCTTTAACCTACAGGCTACAGCCATTACGATTATGGCGTCCATTGTCTAATGGTTAGGACAGAGGTCAAATGAGAAGTCAAATAAGCGTTCTGAAGTCTAAACCTTATGGTGATCTTTAAGACAAAATGAAGTACACAAAGAAGATTAATAAACAGTAGTCAAAATGAGGTGAAGGCCATAATAATCCCTTTTTTTTTCGTGCGTGATTTATGAAAATGGAAAAGGTAAAGAAGCGGAAGAACAAACCAACGCAAAACTCCGGAGCAAAGAGGCAGATTCCTCCTCAGCTAGAATCTGGCTCTGCAGTGCCTCTTGCATCCTGGAGTCAAACGCATCACATTCAGCTTCTGCATCACGCAGCGCAACAACCAGAAGCTCCCTGTCCTTCTCGGCGGGAGCAAGGCTCTCACTAACCCGCTCAGCTTTCTCAAAATCCTCAGTTTCACAAGCTTCCTCCAGTTGCTTCTCCAGTTCCCTATACTTGGCAGATGCCTGACTCCATTGCAGCGCGGCTTTTCTTCTCTTTCTGATAGAGTCCTTGCGAGCAGCAGAGAGAAAAGAAACGGCTTCCCGAGCTTTTTTGAGCTTCTCGGTCATGCAAGTCTTGATTTCTTCAAATCTGAACTCGACCATTTGGCAGCTGCCAGTGGGATGATTTGATAGCACTGGTTCCTCTTCGTCATGTTGTTTTGCTTCATTTTCTTCCAGCTGCTGAATATCTGCTTCGCGTGAGCAGGTGGTGGAAGCAGCAGAATGGGGCGGCGAATGTTGCTGGGTGGCCAAGTGAACACGAATCTGATGACCACCGTCCTGATGGGCCGCCACGGCCACGTTTGTATTAGATGTGTGATAATATGCAACTGGGAAAGTTGGTGGTTTGGATTGGAGGGAGTGGTGGTTGGGATCGGGAAGTTGTTGCCGCGACGGTGGTTGGGGACCATCTCTATCTCTGCCGTATCCGATCCTTAAACCAGCAGCTCTCCTCTTCTTTCGGGTGGACAGATGTGGCTGAGGGTGAGATGCCGCGGGTGATGAGGCTGAGGGTGAAGACAAGGGCGAGGGCGGACGATCATCAGGTGCAGCAACGATGAGACTGAGATCGGAGAACAAGTCCTCGTCAAGCGGCAAAGATGATGATGATAATTGCGATAAAGAATCAGCAGCAGCAGCAGCAGCATCAGCATCGTGGGATACTCGTTTGCCCTGATTTTGATCATCAGAAATGGAATTCGAGTCCGTATGGACAGGAGTAGTAAAGAGAACCATTCCCTCGAAGAGAGAGCCCATGTCATCATTCTCATGCTCCGGGAGATTGGAATGGGGTTCGGCGGCCACAGTCGATTCTGCTGAGGAAGAAGCCATATCGACTTCTCTTCCTTCCTTTCCTCCCAGGACTCTTTTGACTTTTATTATTAGCAGCAGTACTGCTTATCCGCTACTTGTATAGTATCAGAATGTGTGTACGTATACCGTTTGTAAAAATAAGAAATGGAAAAGAAGATGTGTGTACTCTTGCTCAGATTAAGGTTAAGACTATGATTATAGATTTGATTAAAAAGCATCCGGTCCCTTGTTGGATGAATTAGATGGTATAGGAAGAGAGATCGTGGGTTTGGGACCTTAAACTTCAACTATTTTTTTTTTCTTAGAAAACAAAAAAAAAAAAAAAAGGCCTACTACAATTAGTTGCAAGCAATGCAATCACAATTCACAATTCACAATTCACAATTCACAATTCACAATTCACAAATCAAGCCTCCAACGTTCCATCCCCAACTTGTCCGTGCGGGTGGTTTGCCACTAAACTAAGACGATGCGCCGTCTACGCCAGTCCTTTAATTAATTCTACACCGAAATTTTTATGTGACGCGGCCCAACGGTGCATCACTCATCAGAAATCATGCCCGCAACCGCAAGCAATTTACTCTGTTTTCTTTTTACCCCAGAAGAGCACAAGCACAATGAACAACGGACGTATCTTTGTATTACTGGTGGGGGACGAGTATAATTCCAATTCAATACCAAAATTAAAAAGAACACTCCTCAAGAAAGAACTATTAGCCTTGATGATTTCATTGCAGGGCTTTTCCTCTCACGTGTAGAAGCTTTTTCTCTCTCTTGGGAAGAGAGCTTCTTTCCCCTTGGTGGGAACTTCATGCTTTTGAAATTTTCAAGCAACATATGAACAGAAATCAAGAGTTTGAATCGGAGCTAACTTCCAGATCCCAACATTGTCCGTTAAGTCTGGTTCCCATAGCCAAGCATTCAACAATTATACGGATCAGTACCCATAAAGAAGTCGCATTTAAGGAAGCCATGAAAGTGGAGCTGGTCGGTTGGTGAGAGGAATAAAGGAAATAGAAAAGAAAAAGGGAAAAAAAATCAAAAGTACATCTGCATGCTCAAATTCTTAAGCAGCTGGTCAGTAACTTCAACAACGCTATAAAAGGAAAGCAGTCTGGTGAAGGTAGTATAAATGGATGTCCTAGTTAGAGTCGGCTTTACTTTAAAATGAACTTAGATAACAATAATGTTTGAAACTTAAATAAAAAGTGGGAAACACATGGATTGCATTATGAATTGAATTTAATAAATGGAGAGGGTTGGGTAACAAGTAGTCAATGGTAAAATTGAGAAAATCATTACCACTCTTTTTCTTATTGCATGGCATTAAATGCAAAGTTAGACGTCAATTTATCTTGAGCAGGGAGTAAGTTGGGATCTTAGTAGATCCACAAAATCTTTATATTGTATAAGATCAAGTTTCCTAAACCTTCACAAGTCCAGCTGGTACCCTTTCCTTGACTAACTTTTATGTATAGAACTCAGGTATGTAGAAATTTATCAGGAATAGAGGTGTTTGAGGACACATTTTCTGATTTGATTGTATTTATTGATTGTCTTGTTTGTAAAGTCGTGGGAAGGCCTTGTTCCTTCAACAGCATGTTTTCTCTATTCTGTCATGAAAAGTATGTACATCCATTTGCTAGCTATGATTTCTTACATATCTCTGCTTGTAGTTGGTTTTCTATTATTGTTTTGAGTGTGTGTAAAATGATATCCGATAATTTACTATTCGAGTTAGAGATAATATTCAGTCTAAAAATTCTTTGTTAGCTTTTGGTTCCATGACTTTGTTAGGAAGACATGTTAAGCCACTACGTGAAAAGCTAGTAATATTTTTGTTTGGCCTTGAGTAGTTTGTTAAAAAGGTATTAACCTCACTAATACTTAACTAGCTAACTTCTAAGCTAATTTGGGATATTGTCATTGTTATGTTAATTTTCTGCCTTATTTGTTCTAGTCTTGACTAAGATTCTAATCGTGATTGAGTTTTGTTATAGGTAAATATAAGATAGTTTCTTTTTTTGCTCAAACTACTTGTTACCTACTAATTATTACACTACTTTATGCATACTTGTATTGCTTGTTCAAACTCTTTTGGCCTCTAATCCACAGCTACTAATTGATTGAAGAGCAATGAAGACAAAGTTGTGTTTTGCTCTTGAAGTGTTTCGGCAGTAGCTACTAGCTAGGTTTAGGACTTAGATTTATTTTTGTAAAGCAGTAGCAAGATGTTGAACTTAAGTATGATATTATGGCATTTCGAATGTAATGGATGTCTTCTGTTTTTAATTAGCAGGCTTTGTTGTTATTTTTCTCAATTCGTAAATTGAATTGTTGGATTGATTAATTCCAGGATAATTTTCTTTATCAAACTACACGGTTACAGTATATTGTCACTAATTAGACTTCTCCACTGACAATAAAATGTTGTCATTAATTAGTATCTCTAAACTTAAAGCCTACAGTGATGACAAAAAGTTGTCAATATCAAGTCTATTTTAGTGACAAGTGTGAACCAAAGTTGTTAGTAATTAATCAATACCAGCAACAATCATCACGAAGTTTCAGTGACATTGTTACTGTTGGCATCACTGACAAGATATAAAGTCATCACTATATTTGTACTTTTTATTGACGAAGTGAGTTGTCAGTAAAGAATACTATTTACTGACGACATATAAAGTTGTCAATGTGCACCTTTACCGACGGGCATTCACTGACGACTCTATGACGACTTAAATGTTGTCAGTAATTGTCATCAGTGACGACTTTTACTTTTTTTGTGATAAAAGCTGGTTGTCATTGATGACCTTTTTTCTTGTAGTGATGATTCTTCTGAGTGAGACTAAGAACAAGGCTAAGTACATGGAGAAGATTAAAAGGATCCTGAACTTTGATAATAGTTATGTGATAGAGGCTATGAATAGATCTGGAGGTATGAGTTTGATATGGAATGAGGAAACCAAAGTTAAAGACATCAAACATTCAGTCTTCACTATTGAAGTGCTAATAAAGGATGAAGAAGTGAAATAGGAATGGTGACTGATAGGGATTTATGCCAGCTGTGATAACCAGGTGAGAAAAGGACAGTGGGAGGGAAGTTATAAGTAGAAGGAAAGATCTATGGGGAGAAAACTGGTTAATTATGGGAGACTTTAATGATTTATGTTCAAACGAGGAGAAGTGGGGAAGCAAAATTAGGGAGGAATGGAGTTTTTATGACTTCAGGAACTTTATCCAGGAGAATCAGTTAGTGGATATTGGGTTTGAAAGTAACCCCTGGACTTGGAGTAATCAGTGGCAAAATGGAGAAATAAGACAAAGGCTGAATAGGGGACTTAGCAGTGGAGGATGGAGTAACCTCTTTGAGCATCCCAAGTGCACTCATTTAGAAAGCTTAACTTCTGACCACAGTATGTTGATTTTGGACACAACTCCAGGGGGAAGAAAGATGAGAAAGAAGTTCTTTTTTGACAAAAGATGGATCCAGAGAGAAGGTATTGAAGATGTGATAAAAAAGACTTGGAAGAAGGATATCAGGGGGTCTAGGATGTTTAGAGTAGTGAATAAGATTAAGAGTTGTAGAGTTGCCTTGCTGAAATGGAGAAATGGTTTTATTGAAAACTCTAGGAAAAGGATTTTGAACCTGAAGCAGCAACTGATCAAGGAGAAAAGCTCAGAGATAGAAGGAAGGAAGGGGAGAGTTGCAGTTCTGAAAAATTAGTTGGTGAGTTTACAGAGAGGAGAAACAATACTGGAGTCAGAAAGCTAGGCTAAACTGGTTACAAGAAGGAGATAAAACACTAAATACTTCCATGCAGTGGTGAAGGGGAGAAGAAAAAGAAATAAGATAGGAAACTTACAGAGAGAGGATGGATCTTGGACTTCTAATGACAAAGAGATTGCAGAAGAGATAGCTAGATACTATAAGCAACTCTTTAAGTCTACTAGGCTAGATTGTCTAGAAGTGATTCTGGATAGTATTCAAGGAACTATCACTGATCAGATAAATGATAATCTAACTAGGCCTGTGGAGGAAAATGAGATAAAGTTAGCAGTTTTCTCTATGAATCCCAATAAAGCCCCAGGGCCTGATGGGATGACACCCCTCTTCTTCTAAAAATTCTGGTCTACAATCAAGGAAGAGGTGGTGAAAGCAATCAAGTCTTTCTTTCACTCAGGCCATATGCTCAAATCTCTGAACCATACCATTATCTCTCTCATTCCTAAGGTAGAACTACCTACTGATGTGAAACAGTACATGCCAATCAGTCTCTATAATGTAATCTACAAAGTCATCTTCAAAATCCTAACCAATAGATTGAAACTTATCCTAGAACAATGTATCAACAAAAATCAATCAGCATTCATCCCTAACAGACAGATTCTGGATATCATAATCATTTCTCATGAATGCCTTCATTTTCTTAAAAATAAGAGACAAGGCAAGGATGGCTATACTACAATCAAACTGGACATGTCTAAAGCCTATGATAGAGTTGAGTGGGGTTATCTGAAAGTTGTGATGGAAAAAATGGGGTTCAATCAGGTCTGGATAGAATGGATCATGGAGTGTATTAGCTTAGTTTCTTATTCTTTCAATATAAATAGAGAGACCAAGGAATATGTGATTCCTTCCAAAGGCATCAGGCAAGGTGACCCTCTATCACCTTATCTGTTCTTATTGTGTTCTAAAGGCCTCTCAAATCTATTAAGTAAAGCAGCAAGACAGGGATTTCTAAGTGGATTAAGGATTAGCAAACAAGGGCCAGCTATCACACACTTATTCTTTGCTGATGATACCCTGATTTTTTGTAAAGCTGTGAGGGAAGAAGCAAGGAAATTAAGAGAAATTCTAGATCAGTATGAAAAAGGATCTGATCAGATGATCAACTTGGAGAAATCTTCTATCTGTTTTAGTAAGAACACCAAAGAAAGAGACAAGGAGAAAACTTGTGAACCATTAGCTGGTGTAAGGACAGTGAATCAAGGCAAATATCGGGGCCTCCCAATAGTGATCACAAGGACAAAATGTCAGGTATTTGCCTACATAAAAGACAGCATCAATGCCAGATTGAACAGTTGGAAAAACAAGTTCCTAAGTGCAGCAGGTAAGGAGGTGATGTTAAAGGCTGTTACTATGGCCATACCAAACTATGCTATGTCTTGTTTCAAACTACCAGCTACACTATGCAAAGAAATCACAGGGTTGATGGCCAAATACTGGTGGGGTGAATCAGAAGGGAGAAGCAAGGTACATTGGTACTCGTGGGACAACATGATGAAGGCAAAATTGGATGGAGGATTGAGATTCAGGAATTTACTATGTTTCAACAAAGCATTATTGGAAAAACAGATTTGGAGGCTGATCAGATTCCCAAACCTCTTGGTTAGCAAAATTTTAAAGGCTAAGTACTATCCCAAGGATTCCATACTGAACTGTGTGATCCCTAAAAACTCATATTGGTTCTGGCAAAGCATTATGTCAGTGAGAGAGGCAGTTAATGGGGTTATACTGAAGAGAGTTGGTTCAGGGAAAAGCATCAGAATTTGGAAAGATCAATGGATCCCAAACAACCCAAATGGAAGGCCAACAACCAGGATGCCAGACAGTTGGGAGGAGTAGAAAGTGGAAGATTTGATCTCAAACTTCAGATGGAATAGGAATGAAATTTTCAGGAGGTTCAACAAGGAAGATGCTGATAACATTCTGAAGATACCTATTAGTTTGTCAAAGTCTGGGGACAAGCATTTTTTGGATTCATAGTAAACATGGGGAGTACTCAGTAAAATCATCCTATCAAGTTTTGCTAAAGGGAGAGAGGAGGAAGGAAATCGAAGCAAAAGGAGAATCTAGCTCTAGTTATGATGACTCCAACACACAAATTTGGAAAATTCTTTGGGATTGAACATTAAACATAAGATCAAGCTGTTCATATGGAGGTGTATTACTAACACTTTAACAACTAGGGAAACAATATTCAGCAGAACAAAACAATGTTCACCACTTTGCTCAAGGTGCGGAGATAATATGGAAACAGTGGAACAAAATTTTGTTCCACTGCCCTCAGGCTCAAAAGGTATGGAAGTTGGCACCAGTACAATGGGATGGCATCTAGAACCAAACAGGTTGCTTTAAGCAGTGGTGGGCAGCTTTAGCTCAAGTCAGGAGTAGGAATGAAGGAAAGCAGCATATTGCTTTGACTGCTAACATACTTTGGCAATTATGGAAGGACAGAAACGAAATGAAATTTGAAGGTAAGGAGAGAGATGGACTGAAAATTGTACAAAAAACCAGCACAGAGTGAATGAAGTATGAGGATGCTGGTAAAGGTAAGGCAGAGAGAAGTACATCAGAAACAGATGAAGCAAATGAAAGATTAGGAAGGGAAGGAATGGAGGAGGAGGGGGCTGATGGAAATTCAGATAGCTACCAAGAAATCAGCTGAGGACCACAAATTGGGAATTGGCATTGTAGCAAAGCAGAATAGAGGAAGGATCAGAGCTGAATGGACTTTAGTGGACAGAAGCTCGCTGATGGATATTCAAGATGAAGCCATAGCAGTGAGGCGAGCACTAATGAAAGCAAGACAACTGAGGTGGCAAAAAATCAAAATCATTAATGCTAACAAGCAGCTTATTGCTTTGCTAAAATCTGGGAAAGGAGACAATCCAAACACTATCACGTTGATGAAAGACATACATGCTCTAGCTAATCTGTTTCAAATGTGCTCTTTTAAAGTAAGGAATGCTAGTAATATGACTCTATGTTATCACATTAGCCATTATACTCTAAGCATATTTATGAATGAGGAGAAACTTTTTGGCTCTCCTTAAATGTCATGGTACACTTTGTATAGTTGATTGAGCCGTTGCTCAAATATTGTAAAGTTTGATTATTTATAAAATCTCATCTATCGTTTCCGAAAAAAAAAAAAAAAAAGAACTATTAACTGAAACCTCGCTGCTCAAGAAAAAAGCTATTAATGGCATAACTTAAAACTGAATTCCTGACATCGAAATTGGATACAAAGTTTAAATAGAATGTGCAGAATGTTTCAAATCATTCACAACCCTAACACTGTGCCATATTCAACAAATCATTTTCTTCTCCTTTTCCACTTTCGTTTTCTATCTTCTTGTGGGATTTGAATTGAAAATGCATGGGAGGGGACAATTTAAATCAGAAAGGAAAAACACTACTGTAATCGCAGTCGCTTCGCTGACTTCCATCTTCCAACTCTAAGTTGTACAACCGGTTAGCAAAAAGAGCAATATCTTGCTGGGACAAGCAAATGCAACTAAGCTGTAACTAAACACAAACATCACGGCTGCTAATGATATTCGTTGCCGCCGCCGACTTACTCCTTTGGCTCGGCAAGTTCAATGTCCTTAACAGGAGCTTTTTCCACTCCTTCCTTGAGTAATCTTATTTCCTCTTCTGTCAGGCTGTTTTTCACACTTGTGATCCTTGCATTGGACTGTTTCTCAACCTCCACAGCCCAACTGTAAACCACCATGCCAACAACAGCAATGAGCATACCCATGATATTCTTGAAAGTCAGCTCAGAATCAAACAACAGCCACCCCAAGGTGAGGACACAGACAGTTTTCATGTGACCTAGAACCTGGAAGGAAACTGCTGAGAACCGACCAATACACAGGTACTGACTCACATTGCAGAAAACAGCTAGAGAACACGAGAGAAGAATAAAAAGCTGCACATGTTACAACATCGAATCAGATGCAGCCAAAAAGACAATATGCTCCAAAGTCACAAAAGCAGCAGAGTACTTAGTATGAAACACACTTACAAAGGCACCAGAAGAATACTTGTACTCTAATATAAATTTTCCACAAAGATAGTAATCAATGAAAGGGCCCAGCACAAGAAGAGAAGCTGCTTGGATCGGCGCTGTTTTGCTCAACAACTCAAATGATCCAATTGAGTACTTCTTCTGCAGAGAACCTATTGACTGCATCACGAGGATAATTGCTCCACCAATGAATCTAAAGAACCAATGAAGAAGAAAAATATTCTAGATAACAGCTACAACATTGCAATTGTGCTGTAAAAGTCAGGACATGTGCAGCAATAGAACCTCTATTTTGACTATTCCAGAGGTTCTCAATTCAATCTCCATGGGAATTAACACATTATGTAATCCAATGTGCTTAAATTTAAAAAGTAGGACAAGAAATTGTAAGAAATGAAGTTATGAACGCTCCATTAGCATGAAAATCCGCGGACATAATGGACCTCAAACGACTCAACTCAACAAAATCTCTGGTAAGGATGCAGATGAGGCTACACTGTTTGGTGGTCAATTCTACTGTAACACTCCAGTCAGCATGCATTTCAAGATTTCTTCCTCCGATAACTTGCTTAAGGGGGAAAAAAAAGAATTATTTTCTCACAGAATGCAGACAAAACGGAAGACAAGTTGGCCAGACAAGGAATACTGGCATATCCCAGTAAAAATGAAATGGCCCATAGAATAATGGAGAAGATACTGGAAATGAATAACAACGGATAACATATGTTTGGCACCAGGAAGGAGACAAAGACAACAGCAATAAACAAAACCCATACTGGAGATGAAAATAAGTACCAAGGTATTGAAGTCCTCGAGCCCACACTCTTTATGTCTACCCCCCCCCCCCCACACCCTCCTTTCTCTATTGTGTTCTGAAAGCTCTCCTTACCCTTCATTCATATAGTCAATATCTCAGAAACTTCCCAATTTATATTTAGTTTGTAAGGAGCATTTGAAGTAACTCATGCTGGCAAAATTCCAACTCCTTTTTAGCATCCATTATACTATTTGCAATTTTTTGAACTTTTATGATTCCAAATGGCAATTATCTCAAAATAAATGCGTGTTTATAACACTGCTTTACTAGCAAAGGAAAGCTGAATGATCTAATTGCATTTTCTTCCAAGGTTTAGTAAGAAAACAAAACAAAACAAGAAAGAAAAAACGTTGAAGGCTTGATATCTGAGACTACATCTTCACGAATATTTGGATAAAATTTTTCTAATGGAAGAAGCAATCACATAATTAACATAAGAAAATAGTCTTAAATCTAAAAAATCATCACCACCAAATTATAATCTCTGGTTATTTCAGGTGAGTCAGGTGATGTTTTACGATCAGTATGTCAAATAATAAACTTTAAAAAAATTTCGGTGAAAAATACATATTATTTGTCTTCCGCCCTTGAATGGAAGTTCTGATTGCACCTGTTACCCTCAAACAAAGAAGGAAAGGCTTATCAACAGTCACTGGTAGAGTTCTCTAACAAATTTACAAGGCCAGAACTTTCAAAACTATGCAATTCTTTTTATTTTGATTATGAAAAGAACTCTGCATTTACAGACTTTCAAAGCCAATTGAGTGCCGAATGAATAAGCATAAGATGTTGTGGTCATGCTTTTTGTCCATAGCAATGCGCTAAGCGTGGTCTCCAGATAAACTATAGTATGGCAATTATGGAGATCAGGATGACAATTCTCGTTAAACATAAACAAGTAGTTCATCTAATTCAACATGAACCATTCTTTTGCAGCAAACCAAGCCCATACTTTAGATAAAAACGAAGTTACTTTTATGTTTACTCACAATTTGTTGCAGAGATGTCGATAGTATTGCAACACAAGCACAGATGAAACCCTTAGTATTCACCTTGACATCAGTAACAGTGCAGACACCAACACCTATAACTACAACCACAACTGACATTTTGACTTCCCTTGTGTAATGCTTACTGTGAAGAATCCACTCCATCACGCATACTACTGGGATCATGCTCAATTTTGATATCTACAAAATGGGAAAAAAAAATCATCAGTAAAGAACCAATTTAGTATGGCAAATAGGAAAAGAGCATTCAAGTGAAAGCAACAAATGAAACAACAGTAATTACTGGCCCCAAGAAGCAAAGGTAGAGATGTAGAGTTCCATCATTCTAATAAACAGAACATATAATTGGGTAAAAAGCTTGCAAAAACTGAATTGGTATCAAAATTCAGGAGGAATAGGATTCATGTCAGTTAATCATTCTGATTGGAATGCTGAAACTGGATCTACTATTCAGCAGACTAGATAAAAGAGTGAACTATACCAATCAAACACTCTAAGAGTACAAATTTAAGTTTGCCACTTTATTCGCAAGTCCACAATTGAAATAAACCCTAGACATACTGATCTTCCCACACATCCGGAGGACTGCCTACAGATTGGTAGTGTTCATTCATTTTGGCCGGGAAGCATCTCTTCTTTTATAGTTAGTCAAAGTTAATCGAACTTCAACCACGTCGAGAAAACCCAGGCGAGGATGTAAACACATGCGTACATCTATTTACTATTCTTGTTTAGGCACCAAGCCTTTAACTTCAACTTCCGTTTCTCTTTCTTTCTGATCTAATCTTGCATTTCTGTTCTGCGGTCCCTTGAACCAGAGTAATATTAAAGCAACCTTTTATTTAATTTCTATTCCTTTTTTGCGGCTAATGAATTAAGCATCTCACTTTTGTAAAGAAGACTGAGCATCCATTCAAACCAACAGATATTAGCTTTCAAGCAGCGAAATAGAGCGAGAAAAGTTTAATTAGTCCATCCTAGAAGAGGAGGTAGAGGCCACTTCAGTTCAATTAGGAAAGTCAGCATTAAAGAGGAGATGGAGGGCATTTGAGTGTCGTACTTGGTAAAATCCAACCGAGTTCAACATGAGACTAAGGTTCATCCCTGTGATAGACATATTTGCAACAACTGAGAACCACAGAAGTTCCCACAAAGGAACATGCTTTGATGCAGAGAACCCCGTAGCATTTGAAACCATCCCAACAAGCGCAGTTACAGCAAAATGAAAACCGGTCAAAGTTGTAGCTGGAGGAAGCAAGGCAAAAGATTGCGTCAGGTAAATCTACAGTAGAGTGACAACGGAGGAAATGAAGTTCCATAAACCATTGCCATTGGAACTATCAAAACCAGGATCTAGCAAGTGCAGATTTGAGCCAAAAAAGAAAGCCAAGCATGACTCTGAAATTAACGAGAAACTGCTGCACAATAGAACCGGCCAATGTATGTCAGATCTCGATTGGGAAGGACAGTATGGTCCATGAGATTGGTGAGGCAGAAACATGGAGGCCAATAAATCTCATCAACAGAAAAATTAAGCAGCAAAAAAGATATGAACTTTTAATCAACTTGCAACAGGCGTTTTGGGGAGACACGTGAAGGGGGGCTTCGAAATCAATGCAGATATTGATATACAAATGCACAACAGAAGCAGAATAGACAGTGAGAGACTGACCGAAGCTGAAAGCATAACCACTGGTGGACATGAGCTGCTTGTTGGCCATAATGATTCCAACGGAACTGACAACGTTCATTGCCCAGGCGCCCACATCCGATACAGCCGATTTCTTCTGGGCTTCCATTTTCTGGTTCGCTCTCCCTTACACCCACACACACACAACACTCACCCCTCCCCCAAGGCCACCAACCACCACTGATTTACTTTGGCTTTACTAGTGAATCAAGTATAGACTGTACAGTACAGACAGCAGAGCAGAGTAGCATGGAGCTTGAGATCCGCGGAGAAAAGAGGGAGGGATTGGGGGGTGTGGGTCGGTCGAGAAGGTGAGAGATATACAAATAGATCTCGGACCCAAAAATAAATAAATAAACAAATAAATGAATGAATGAAAAAAAAAAATGCCGCCAGTAAAAGAAAAGGAAGGATGGAAGGACGAATTAAAGCTTCCTTGGTCCCTTTATTTTTTTCTTTTTTTCCAATCTTTACAAGGATGGTTTTGAAGATGATACTCAGCAAAAGACAAGATTCAGAAACAAAGGTTGGTTTTTTGTCTCCTTTAATAGTAAGGGAGGAGAGTACGTATCGGTAAATAAAAAAAGAAAAACAAATAGTCAGCTTTGCTTGCTTGCTGTCTCCAGTGCGTCGCTTTTGTCATGTAGAGCAGCGAGTAGTAGAGGGGAAGGGAGAGGAACGTTGAACGTTCATGTGATATGGGCGTTGCGTATCGCCTCAAGCGATGCGTATTGCCGTAATATGAATGAATGAAGAACGTGAGCACACCGTGCAAACACGACACTATCTGATCTGAGGAAGAGAGAGAATTATTCTACACACAACTGGGCGAGCGCTACTCTACTACCAGAAGTAACTGCTGATTACATTAGAAATTTTTGACCCAAGGAAGAATAGTGAGGGGATTATTCCATCAATGGATCGGTCATCTCTCTTACGTTTGACGATTGAGTCCCACCTTAATCGTCTCTCTTGACCAGAGTACCATTCATGTTAGTATATTTATACGTACGATCTTCCTTCCTTCGTGTCTAGACACCATTCTCCACTTGAGTGAATCATTTTTCATTTATAAACATCAAGTTTTGTAATAAAACTTGAGCTTTTACTTCTTAATCAACATTAATTTTAAGTACAAGAAGAGAATGGTAAAGAATCTGATTATGGCCTTCAATCAGATTCTTTACCATTTTAACTAGAGCTTTTACTACTTCTTAATCAAGATGTTTTAAATACAATAAGAGAATTGTAAAAAATGTGAATGACCCTCAAACAGTCACATTTTTTTTTACCTTTTTAACTATTAAGTGCATAGTTTTGTCCCTCAAACTTGTAAAAGGATATACTTTCCACCCTATTAGTTAGAAATAATTTCAGAAATCTCTACTGAAGTTTATGGTAATATCATTTGGCATTCTTAAAATTGCAAAAAAAATATCACTTAACTCCCATATTAGTGAGATAAGATCATTAATCACTATCATAGCATATGAATTAACAAAATCATCTTTGCTATTTTAATATTTTTTAGGCAAAATATTATGAAAGAGAAAATTTTTAGGCAAAATATATAATTCTCATATTGTAGTCAAGATGATAGAAATTTGAGTAAAATGTCAAAAAACTCCCTATGATTTGTCGAATGTTCAATTTAACTCAATCTGATTTGGAAACCTACACTATAATTTCCTATGATTTTGACTAAATTGAAAATTGGACGGAAAGCATCCAATCTAACAGTTGCTCGTGAAATGTCAATATTGCCCCTACTATACGTGAAATGTTTTCTGTTTAATTTTCAATTTAATTGAAAACATAGGGAGTTATAGTGTAGTTTTTCAAATCAAATGGAGTTAAATTCAATATTCAGCAAACCACATGAAGTTCATTTATATAAGGGCAATATTGACATTTTACGTATAATTGTTAGATTGGTTGCTTTCCATCCAATTTTCAATTTAGTTAGAATCATAGGAAACTATAGTGTAAGCTTTCAAACCAGATAGCGATAAATTTAAGTTTTATATAGTTTGCTTGGGAGCAAAACATCTTTTAAGGGCCGTTGGCATTGTGGTAACTTAGTGAGAAATACTTCATCTAATAGAACTTTTAATAAAAGCATTTATTAATTACTTAAATGCTTTTAAGTATATTATTTACAGACATAGTTAAATAAGTACTTATTGTATTGAATAATGTATAATTTAATTTTTTTTTGAACGTATTTAACTTCTTGTTTAGTTCATAATATAGGATAAAATGCTTAAATTTAATTTTTTATTATTTTGTAAAACATGAACATGAAAGCTAAAAGCATTAAATTTTAACTTTTGCTAAAAGTATTTTTAATACAAAAAATTATACATCTAATTTTATGAGATAATATTTATCAAACGATTCAAAAGTATTTTTAACCCTCATAAAAGCACCACAATCCCAAATAATCATAATTGATATTGACCGCTGATAGGTCAAAGTTTATAAGATGTACCAAAACGGAAGGAAACTAATCCCCCTTTTCGTGCCACCAACGCAAATATGATTCCTTTTCGTGATTCCTAAATCTTGCTTTCCACTAGTACTCCATTAGCAAGTCTTAAGCAAAAAATAAGAGAATCGATAAAACATGAAAATTTGATTTCCTGATCCCTTTCTAAAACATTAAAAATTGTATAGGCCCCCCTGTTTGAAAGAGCTTCACTGTTGAGCTGTATTCTGTCTCATCAATTCATTTGGTGGGCAAGTTTCATAACATTAATTCATTGATTTCCTGATCCATATAATACAACAATATTGAGGAGTAATCTAACGTTCCCAATAATCCTAACATACACTTTGTTTGAGGTAATTGATCCATTGTGAGACTTGTCACTGATTATAGATAGTACCTTTTATTCGCAGTTTGACCTCCCTTCCGAATTTTCATTTATTTCACACCTCTCTTCATTTTCTCTTCCTCCTTTCCGCAATGGGAGGCATCCTCTCCCAATGGTTTCTCTCTCTCTCTCTCCCAATGTTTTAGAATCATAAGGAAGTATGTTGAACAACTGTCATATAATTGGGAGTTTTTTCATACTTAACCCATGAAAGAAATTAAAACACCAAAAGAACTAATGGCACACACTAAAATCATGTTCGTTTAAAGGCACCCCAAACAGCAAGGTCCCAATTCTCAAAATATGCCTGGACTGTCAAGGCAACAGTACAGAAGCAAAGCTGTTCAGAATTAAGAACCTGTGAAAATTTTTCTTTCCTCTCTCTCTCTCTCCCTCTTTCTTTTCTGTTTTTCACTTTTCTTCTTGGTCCATGCCCATATGCCCCTGGGCCTGGGCCCTGGGGGGAGGTGCCCGATTGCCAAGCCTTTTGCATGAAATAAGAGCTACAGCAAACACGAGATACATCACAAATTTGCAACTGGCCAAAAAAAAATGCTGGCACATCAGCAGGACTGCAGCCCGCCTTCGTACAAAGGATAAACACAAAAACAATAACCATTATCAACATCTCAGTCCACTCACCAGGCTCTGAATCAGTGGTTCATATACACTACACCATTTTAACAGCAAGTACCCCAATATGGAGAATTTTAGAACGCTGAACAAAAAAAAATCCAAATTGCTAGCACCATATGGATAATACATACATCAGATACTGTAAGTCCACCCTCCGGCAAGCTTATACATGTCTCTGAGCACCAGGTGGTGCTGTTGGCATCGGGAAATTGTAGGTGTATTGGCCACCTGAGAACTGAGGAGCCTCCACATATGGGCTCTGAAAGATTCAATTACAAATGAAAAAAGGTATCAAAAAGGAAGGAACAAGCTTTATAACCTAACCCTTACGTTTGAAGAAAAATGTTTCTGCACATCCAAATTGTACTCACATGACTAGAAACTTGCATGCCATATCAACCTTACTATAGAAGCCTACATCCTAATTAGGAGTAGAACCTTATAGAGTATTTGATGCAGCATCAACTTTCCAGGTGAGAAACGTCCAAAACTTTTAGTTATTGACCATTCCACAAGTGACTTGGAAATTAACTACCCAAAATAAATTCAACGTGAAATAGTCCAAGAAACTGAACATCCACGAACACCAGATCTAATTATACGTGATGGCCTTATGATCTGGAGTTGAGTTATTGGCATGAAGGTTGCTTAATTTACTTTTCATATACTCCACAAATATCAAGTCACATGAAACCTAAATCAATAGGAGGAACAGGAAGAAGACAACCGTTGATGCTACAAAAACCTTGTACTTTTCTAGGATGGAATATTTGCCCAAACTTTGACAGGATATCATCCCCAGATAAACTTCCAGGTGCAAGGAGAGCTTGAAATTTTTGTTCTTAACCAGAATAAGAAATAAAACCCAAAAAAAAAATTACCTGCTGTACAAAAGGAGTTGCAGGTAGATCATCAGTATTTGAGGATCTTGCCGATGTATTCACAGAAAAGGCATCATACACTGGGTCACCACCATTCAATTTGTGTAGTGGACTTTTTGTTGCCATTTCAGTTTCATTTTCATTCGCCAACTTGGCCCTCTAATACATATGAATTGATTTCAAAATAAAAGTAAAAAAAAAGAAGAAGACAAACAGAGAAATGCAAAGAAGGCAATGCTCGGACAAACCAGAAGAAAAGGAAATGAAAAGGGCTAGAAGGACAATAAAAAGGTGGAACAAGATCAGGTACCTGAAAAATTTTTCCCAGGGTTTTCAAACCCTTGGCTCGTGCACGGAGTTCCTCTTTCTTTACATTGTTGTCTTGTAGAACCTAAAAGAGATTAGCACCACCATATCACTAACAAACTCAATAAAAACAATGAAGCCCAATTATGAAGGAATTGCAGAGTCTAATATACCATCTGACAAACACCACCATATCACTAAGATTAGCACCACCATATCACTAACAAACTCAATAAAAACAATGAAGCCCAATTATGAAGGAATTGCACAGTCTAATATACCATCTGACAAACACGGGAGAGCGTGGCTTCAATATCAGCAACATTAAGCTTCCAGAGCGAATCAATCATCAACTTCTTGTGGGATTGCATGTATTCCTCAAGCTCTTCTTCAGTGTAGTTTCCTTCCGCACTGAGCTGTCGTTTCATATCCTCTTGTAGCTGAATCAAAGCAATTGCACCTAAGAAAAGCAGCAAAAGGTAATAAGATAAAAGATCAGATTTATTTAGTTCAAAAGGAATATGAAAGAGCAAGAGATCATATAGATGCAACTTAAAAGACCTGTGCTTCTTGCCCATCGAGGACGATTTCCTAACTTAACTTCATACAAAAGTCAATAACTAAAAATGAAAGAGGTCCCTGATGACGAAATTCAGAAGCTCAAACCAATTGAGAGACAACCAATCTCGTCAACCTTAAAAGTCAAACTCAAAGAAAAATTTTGCTGTGTCTGCTCATAAGAGGAAAACTAAAGAAAGACATAAATCACTGAACCAGCAGTGCTGTCACAAAGATCCCAAGAAAGTGCACCGATATATTCAGTATTCAACAGGAAATGAAGAATAATCTAAAAGATCTAAATATTTCTTCCTCTATATATCTCCCTTTTGGTTCCCCAAATATCGAACAACACTTGTCTCCACTCACTTTCCATCTTACCGCTTCTCCTGTTCACTTCTACCTCAGTCCAATGGGCTCCATTAAAATGCTGTCACTTAGCCAAACATGAAAAACTAGTAGTGAAATGCAGAGAGCTACTAAAATATTTCTCATACCAAAACCCCCAGAAGGTGCCATATAGTGCATCACTGAATACATGTGCACACGAATTTATGAAAAAATTCCAGGTGCCAAAGGATTTGATAGCATTTAGAAGTAAAACCAACAAGGTATAGTTATTTTGACAGCAAAAAAGAAATGGGCCAACCTGTTGCTGCAGTTACTTGGGACTTAATAAAATGGCCTTTATTTCTGAACCACTCAGCAATAAATGGCACACCCAGATATATTGCCTTCTTCCCCAACTCTTTAGCTGACTGCCTTGCATATATATACCCAATTGTATTCAACATATCAACACCGTAAGCTGTAAGAGAACATTAAGATGAATGAGAAAGGATGTCTTCCAATTTCAACAAATATGCAAATCAACTCCAGCACACTGTAAATTAAAAACCGCAAAAGGTGTGTGAGGAAAGCGCACTAGATCTAACTTGCTAAGAAAAAGCAAAAAGGAAAGGGAGGAAACCAAACAAGTAATAACCCAGCATAAAAGGCATCAAACTTTACTTTGGCTACATTTGCATAGTTACATAGATTGCACACTGAGTTCAGCTAAAATCACTGTGTGATCTTCTCCCCTTCAACAGCTATAGCATTCAAGAACTTATCAATCTTAAATTCATTAAGAGTCATTGTCCACATGAAAGCTTTGTTAGGGTTTCAAGGAAAAAATATAAAACTATTTTCGAAACTTCAACAAAATTGAAGTATTTTCTATAATCCCATTTTCAATCCCTTGCTTCTAAAAATTTGGAATAGAAGCAAATTATTTAGACAAAATAATGAGCGATTTTAAAAGATAAGAATTAGTGAGCATAACTGTCAAAAGACAAAAGGCGCTGTCATACCATGTTGAACCACAATTTTATGATGGCAATGAAAGAGTCTATCAATTTTAGATATTAAAAGAAATCTTGCTTAAAAATGATTTGGAACATTGCCGTTCAATTACATAAACCATTGCTAAATTAACAGTAATCATATTTTGTACAATTTTCTATTTTTGCACTGTGGAAGTGAAGTGAATTTCATATGATCAAGCCATCTGACAGAGTATTGAAAATCTCAAGCTATATAGAGTCCAACTCCAGATAGAATGCTAATAACTATGGCCTTTGAAAGGAGACGTTTTAGACACCAAATTACAAGGACTTGAACCACCTCAGAATTTGATTGGTCATCTTTATTACCATCTGAAGTACCCGACCACAAAAAACTCCCCTTATCTTCTATTCATTCAGCCACACCATGGACATTCTGAAAAAAAATCGCACAGCATCCAGGCATGCATGATGATAGATGCACCATCAACCATTCAAGTGTACCTGGATGCTACCCAACACGTGACAACATGACAGATATCTACAGCCTCCTAAACTAACAAGTGAAGGAATAATGTTTCCAACACTGCCAATGTAATATTTCTATGTTCACTAGCAGGCTTGGATGCATGCCACATGCAAAAAGAGAAAATCAGATTTGGAGGTTATGTACCATGCACGCAAACCCACTAGTGCATCTTACACTGACATGAGAGAAAAATGAATCCCAAGTCAAAGGCCAAAAAATGTAAAAGCTAAAAAAACAATCAACGACCAAATGGACCACTATAAAATTTCCTCCTCCTTTTCTTTTCTTTTCTTCCCCGCACCCCCAATCTCTACTATTCCTACTTTAAGCCCTAGACACCCAGTTAGTAAATCCTCACATTATACTCGCATAATGCGCATTCATACGTATAAATAAAAAAAACATCCACATTTCACAGGTTTAAAAACTGCTCACACTTTTCAATTAACCGTATAAAACACATAATAAATTACATTCACTTTACAAAAAAATAAATAAAACTTGAATGATGACAATGACTTACCTTCCTAGTTATGTATAAAATAACAGCGACACATAACATACTTCTATAGATTTATACATATAAAAGCACTAAGGTGATAAAATTTTAATAAATTTAATATCTCATACACAATGATAAGAGTTGAAACTGGTATGAATGTATGTAGCATAACCTTTGAAAAATACAGTAATTTAAACCATATTTTTGGATCTATAAATTTCAAATGTACTCGTACAATTCACGTACGAATTTATATGCATAATTTTCCCAAACAAGTATTTTTTGCGCTGAACTTTTAATCATACTTTTGAAAAAAATTCCGTATAATATGGGTAACTATAATACCTCATATTATACCCATCTTGTATTTTACTAAGACAACACCACAATGTTGAGCAGGTAAGCCTACTACAACTACAACCCACAACAACAACGAAATAGAAAGAACATAAAGAACAATTTGCTTGAGACCTCAAAGACACTAAACCAAGCATGGCAAAAGGCCTAATACGCATCAATAGCTGAAAGACATGAGCACAAATTCGTAATATCGACTCTTTACCCAGTAGGGACTAATAACAAGAAATTACAAATAAAACTTTCTTTGTAGAAGAAAAATAATAATAACTAGATCAACTACTGCCAAAAGTATCAGTGACTGCAAAAAGGTGCTTGATATTTGTGCATACATACACGTTGCCACCTTGGATTCCCCAGTATGTTGGATAGAGGCAAAGACCCTCCGTTACACGGTAGAAGTATATTAATTAAAACCCCCCCAGCGCCCTCCCCCCCCCCCCCCAAAAAAAAGGCCAACCATACAAGACAGTTACCACATATCGTACGCCTTTCAAATTTAAAAACTTTTTTCCAGTTGTTCCGCTCTTTTGATGATGGAAGTATAGACACACAAACAAACACATTTATATATGTATAATTTTAAAGTCTGAAGTTAGACAAGGATTGACGCAGCATGCAACACAGCCTAATGGAAATTGTACTGAAAAGATATTACCTGCATTAGAAAGCCTTGACACTTCACCTTCAGCATGACAAACGAAGTCTTCTTTATTTCCTTGTACATAAAGATTCAATCTATCCTTTAATATTTCAGCAAGCTTCTCTTCTCTTTCCTTTTGAACAACCTGAAATAAAAGGGCAACAAGTCCTTCAAATTGTAAAATAGATGATACACATACTCAATACTTCTATAAATTGCTCAGTATGATAGAATATTTACTGACATGATTTCATGCTATGCCTTCTACAGATGCCACAAAAAAATGTACTCAATCCTCCACAATCACTATGATAGAATATTTATTAAAACAGTCAACGCATGTGTTGGAAAAGTCACTCTGCTAGAAAACACAATGGTAACAATATTGATGCAATTAAGGACACAAACACACAGAAAAGCTTTGAGTAAATTTCACTTGGAGGCAGTTTACTAGAAAATGAAGCATTAAAAAAATCTAGTTCTAGGATCTTAACTGCAAACCAAATACATCTCCAAGGAGGAATTGAGCAAATGATAAACTAATTAAAAATGACCAGAAATAAAAAAAAAAATCAATTTCATGGAAAACACAAGCACCAGGGTCAATGATCATGTTCTGCAAATGGCAGGTGGTTAACGATGATTTAAAAGAGAAAATGGTATCCAGAACGGAATGATTATATTTAGCACAGAATGATTATATTTAAGGATGCTGCAAGTGATAGATCTACGGATGTTGTAACAAATACTTTGGGAGCATTCACTCATTTGTCCAGTTGCAACCTACCCCTAGCTCTTGGAATGCAGATTGGTCAACCTTAAGTAGAGTATTTTGGCTGTCTGCAGTAGATTGTCAACCTATTGGAACCAATGTTCATCAAAATTAAAACTTGGTAAGTCTGGAGTCTGTCACATGCTGATAAGTAATAAAATCTGTCTATAGGTAGTTTTCATGTTTATGAACAAGTATCTTTAATCTACCAAAACTGTTTGTCACCAATATAGGTGGTATACTGAGCGCTTTCTTGAACAGAATTTGATGTTAAGTACACAGGGGCAGAGTTGGCTGGGTTGATACAGGCACGCCAGTGAAACAAGAGGACTGGGGAGTTTTATTGCTGTGAAACATAAGGATATTTGAAATCAGACATCCTCATTATGGAACAAAGCTTTATTGTTAGCCCTCCCTATTCTATGAAGCAACAAATGAAACTTTCAATCAATATTATTCCGTTCTCCACTCACAGCATAAATTTTGAAAAGAATTCAGTTGACAAGACTCATTTCTGTGAAAGCCACTAGTTGGAACACTGAATTACTTTTGAAGGCTAGACACTGTTCATAAAAGACCTTTGTACCATCTGGTTTGCAAAAAACCAGAAAATTTTAACAAATCAGGTACTTCCTTCTGAGCTTGCAATATGGAAGAATTATAAATGATTCAAGGAGCAGAACTGTAAGATGGAATAAATTTTCTAGATGCTATATTACAGGACAGTTACAATATTTGTTTAGAAATAAACATGCATTTGCCTTTGTCCGTTCCTCTTGGTTAGTTCTGTAGCAGCTTACAAAGTTTTCCTCAGTAGTTCTTTTTTGTATTTGTTCAAGCTGGATGGCCAATCTTTTGTGTAATCCTACAGCACTTGTGCCAAACAATGTATAAAGTTCATAAACAACATTAAAAGTTGGGTTGCTGATTTGCAGTTATCTAGTAAAATGCCTAAGAAAGAACTCTAACAAGAACAAATTATTAGAGCTTGATATAGAACACATGATAATAGAGCACACAACGTAGCCTAATCTCGTGCAGCCATGTCAGTTTTAAAAAAAAAAAAAAAATAGGTCAACATTTAAAGCTGTTGTTGATGTAGAAAAAAAATAAAAATCAATCCACGAGCATTATATTGCACATATTTAAACATAGGATGGCATCAGATTGAAAAAAAAAAAGATAAACTTCTAATGGATGGCGAACATTAAAAGCCATGTCAAAAGGTATATAAGGGTTAAAACAAACAAAGCCTCAGCAACAGGACATGTCTGCCCCCTAATTACTTGTAAACCTAACCTCCAAAGTTAACAGAAAACCATATTAAAATAAACCAAGTGCACCACAAGAATTATACCCTCATTTTTTCTTGCAGCTTTTTAGCATCAAAATCTTCACCTTCGGTGAAAATATCCAATGAAGCCATTGATGCCATGGCGAGCTGACCAATGTATTCTTCAAAAAGCTCACTTCCGAAAAGCATGGCAAATATTGCTGCAGGATCAATTATAGCTTCACTGCAAGAAAAACACATGAAAAGCTTTGGTATGAATCATAATAGAAAATACCAGCATCAGCTCGGGTGTACTGTATACGTAAAGGTGCCAGATTTCAAAAAATTATCATCTCATTGATTTTAAAACAAGAACAAAAACTGACGTTGAAATTCCTGATTTCCCATAATTATCGTAAGCCTGTCGTTGGGCAGGATCACTCAGCACTTGGTAAGCCTCTCCCAAAACCTAAAAATCAAAATGTATAGATTACTGTCCCCCAAACTCGCTGTGCAGAGTCTTAAGAATCAAACAAGTAGTACACATAAAGCAGAGACCTTAGACAATCTAAGTAAACATTAACCAGTTGATCTTTATCTCTGTACAGTTATCTCATTATCCAGGGCAAGTTCACTAAGGTTATCAACTATATTCAGGGATTATCATGACCTCAGAATTTGTTTCTGTATTCACAGCAATTTCAATAGGAAGTGGAGAAATGTGAGCTTTGTTATACAGTGATAACTTCAATACCAATTCTTCTAGTTTGCCTTCTCACCTTTTTACACGTACTGGAATACAATGATCAAGCTTTTATGAAAAACACTCCAATAAAAACTCGTAAGTTGAGTCTTACCTGGAAATTTTGGGCTGCTTGAGGGTCATTTGGATTTTTATCTGGATGAACCTGTCGTGCCTACAATGCAGAAGCAAATAATGGATAAACTAAGTAAACTGATTCTGAAGTCAAAAAGAGAATCCATTGTCCTCTTTGTTAGAGGCCTTTTCATTGAAATCCTAATTTTTAGTAAGCAAATAGCCCTTCAAATTGCAGGATGGTTAAGTTGAAGTAAACCTAGTAGGTAAGTGCTGGAAAAGCGACTAAGCATTAAAACAGGACCCAAAAATTTTATACCACTAACTCATTAAACCACCTACAAGAAACGCAGCGTGAAGTCTGGAAGCGCTTTTACTCTAAAATAAGAATGACTCCGCCTAACACCAACTTTTGAATCTAAAACTGAAACAAGAAGAGGGACTCTAATTGTGGCAACATCAAAGACTTAATTATTTGAATTCAAAATATCAGGCTGCCATACCCTCATGAGAAATACGAGAAGACAAATTAATCATAAGTTGAAAGAATAGGAGCAGCAAATCCCTAAATTGCATCGGAAGATAAAACGAAGAGGGACAAGAAAAACAAAAAGAGGAACATTTATTATTGGTTGATAACTGTGCTGCAAGATATCATTGGCGGATTTTTTTTTTATTTTCTACACTTCTTGTTTAGCCTGTTGTATGCCTGTAGCAAATTAATAATAACTTGTCACAAGCTACAAATGTATGTTCTTTTTGATAAATTCTCATCAATTTTTATAAATAACACAACATAATGACAATAACAAGCACATGCCCTGTTAGAAATGCAGCAGCAACAACAAATAAATCAACTTAACACTCAGGAAATCCTCTTATTTAAGAACACAAGACAACACTCAGTCACCTCCCTTGTGTACCTCTACTAAGAAACACATGGTTCTACATTTGTTGCGAATACTTACTCCAGATTAGTTTCCATATTCTGCCAAGGGATGCAAATATGACAGCAATAATGCCTGTAACTCTTTATATCTGATATGAGAACGCATAATGGACAATTTGGCTTCATCACCTTCACGCGTATACTATCTTGTTGCTGTTTATCACTTTCTTGAGAACTCAGAATGAAGCTTGCTCTCTTAGCAGATAGTTGTCAAGTGCACATGGAGCTTTCATTCCCTCTTTATAAAAGGTAATTATTCACTTTATCTCCCTGCCCTATAATCTCTCTCTCCCTCTCTGTCTCACAAAATTTCTGTAACACGTGTTCTGCTGGATGCAATTTAAGTCTCCTACTCTTCTCTCACGAAATTTCTTCAACATGCGTTCTGGTAAATACAATTCAAATCTCCTAAAAAATAATGAAATTCAAGTCTCCTAAACATAAAACCATACACCAAACCTTGATTCATCCCTCAAGAAGTAATATGCATATAGCTGCAGGCAAATTCCATTTACAAGTAGCGACTAAAATCCCTCAATACCCTCAATACGTACTACGACCATGGAAAGCTACGCAAAAAATAAGTCAAACCAAAATATTTGGAACAAGTAAATGGAGTAGACAGTTCTAAAGATCTTTAGAAAGCATAACAGAATATCCTAGTGTTAGGATGGCGCATCTGAACTCGAATTTCAACCCCCCCCCCTCCCAAAATCAAAAACCACCTCCTACCATGAAAAGTGGGAAACAAAGAGACAGCGACTAATCCTTTGTTGCTTCCTGGATTCCTCCATTATCCATCCATAGGCATAACCAAATAGATACAAGGGCACGAAGAGCCGCGAACTAATACCTTAATGTAATAAGCTTTCTTAATTTCAGCTTCAGTTGCGGCGGGGCTAACCCCCAAAACGTCGTAGTATTCCGTCTCCTTCACCATCGTCTTGAAGCGATTTTTTCTGTGTTCTTCTCCCGATTGACCTAGCCGATTACACCAAATCACTTCTCCTAGGATGGGTGGGGTACGGAAATCAGAACACTGAGAAGTTGCTGGCGTCGTCAAACGGCAGGTGAATGAACTATCAGCCTAACATGGGGTCAATTACGACATATCAAAAGGGGAAAAATAAGTGAATAAATACCATCAGAAAGCAAATAGTAAACGGTACAAAGTACAAAAAATAGCAGAAATTACACGATGTTGCAACTGAAGTGAGAGCTAAGCTGGCTTGATCGAAGAGGCGGAAGAGACTGAAGTTGCAGAAACGCGGTATAAAGTATAAACTTGGATGATGTTATATCTAAATCTCTCAACGCCATGGCACGTCATAAATGGGAGTATCCCAGAAGGTGGAAATTGCAAGCGCCCTTGACCTTCGAATCCGTCGTGTTGACTGCCCGTGGGTCGGACCCCCTCACAAAGTTCTCGGGTGCTTCAGACGCAGGCGGGCCCTTATGATTAAAAAAAATGAAAAAATGCTAGAAGGGCGTGTCTTTCTTACTCAAATTATTCGATTACATTCTAACTAGGGAAAATCGCTCAAAATGTCCCTCACATTTTACAAAATAACTTTTTTCATTCCTCACTTTTAAAAATGTAATTTTACCTCTCTTACAAATTCACATTGGCCAAATTTGATCTCTACTTAGGTTTTCGACTAGTTTTTTGTCGGAATTCATCACGTGCCTTGCACGTGATCATATTTTAAGGGCAAAATTGTCAAATCAAATTTTATATAATTCGATTCATAATCACTCACATTTCATAAAATAAATTTTTTCGTTCCTTACATTTCACAAAATGAATTTTTTCATCATTCACATTTTTTAAAATGAATTTTTTCATCTTTTATTGATTACGTGTGTGAATAAATTTTTTTTAAAATTCATGTATATATCTATTTGATTTCACCTGAACAGTACGAACAACATGTGAAATCAAATAGATATATACATGGGTTTAAAAAAATTGTTAGTTTTTCACTTATATTCATTTTCTTTTACTCGAAATTTGAAAATAAAGAAGACATTTAATCCTAAATATTATCGAGTGTTTATATCGTATTAAATTTGGACAGAAAAAATAAACAAAAGAAAAATGTGACAAAAAGAAATAAGTGATTGGCATTTTCAAATTTTAAAACAATCACAAGATAAGTAATTCAAATGTTGGTCTTAAAAGTGTCGAGTAGAAATTTCATATTTTAACTGAAATTTGTTAGCACAATTATAGAATTCGAGTTATGACCCATTAATTAGATGACCTTATTATACAATTCAATAAATAAATTATTATCAAAAGAGAAATGTCACAAATATTGAATAGGTTCAAATGGTGAAATCATATAAATATATACTTGGGTCTCAAACAAAATTATTAGTTTTAAACCCCTATATATATCTATTGAATAGCATGTGTATAACTACGATTAGCATGTTTAGATGAAATCCAATAGAGATAAATTACATGTTATTCGTACTGTTCAAGTAAAATCAAATAGACATATACGTGGGTTTATAGGAAAAAAATTATTCATACACATGATCAATAAGTGATGAAAAAATTCATTTTGAAAAATGTGAGGGATGAAAAAATTCATTTTTTGAAATGTGAGGAACGAAACAATTCATTTTGTAAAATTTTAGGGACGAAAAAATTCATTTTGTGAAATATGAGGGACTATGAATCAGATTATGTAAAAATTTGATTTGACAATTTTGCCCTTAAAAAATGATCACATGCAAGTCACATGTTGGATTCCGGCCAAAAACTAGTCAGAAACCTAGGTAGAGACCAAATTTAATCAATGTGAATTTGTACGGGACCTAAAATTATACTTTGAAAAGCGAGAGACGAAAAAAGTCGTCTTGTAAATTGTGATGGACATTTTGAACGATTTTCCCTTCTAACTAAGAAGAGAGATAATTGTTATTTTAATCCAAAATGTTTGTGGCATGAGAATTTACTGGGCATTGGACTTGTGGCTATCGCGGGGTGCCCATATTATAGTGGTGTTGAGTAGTAAGGAATATAAAATAAAGTAGAAGGAATCCTAAATAAAGGGTTATTATTTTGTTGAATATTATAGTAGTGATTGTAGATTAAGCAAATATGAGATAGTATATGTAAATGTAGAGCGATGTGAAATTGGTATTTTTTGTATCTAGTATAAGAGTGCTAACTGATGGTTTATTTATGAAAAAGATGTTTGTGCAGGAAATAGATTATAAATAGGAAAGCAAAAAGCATGTGTTTTTTTTATATATACATTCTAATTGGAGAGTGCACTTAGGCTAATGTAAGATTTATTTAATAACATAGATTTAGAGTATTTTGTATGATAATAGAGTTGGAATAGTGGATAGAGAAGTGATATATTGGATTGATTTATTTAAAAATAGATAGTGTAAAATTGATGTGATTTGTATTGTATTTTTTAAAATTAATATGATCTACAGATTTGATGGATAGTATTGGTTTCCATTTGTTTTTTGATTTTAATTTAGTGATAAGTGAATATTATTTAAATTAATGGAATATATATTAATTTTTTAAAGTTGATAGGATGGAAAATTAGTTGGAGAATTACATTGAGAGTGTTATAATTTATTGTACTTTGGGTGTTGGTAGTTTATGTATTTTAGGATGATGATATTTTCATAATTTGAATAGCAAGGATGAGAAAGTGTGCATTGTTGCAGTGGAAAAGTCTATGGAAATAATATAAAAGAATGGGAAGTTTGTTGAAAAATAAATGGATAATAGATTTTTTTGGCTAATTTTGATATAGTTTGGCTGTTGTGTGATGAGATAAATTAATAATTTGGAATAATTTGATACTATAGCTTGGTAGAATATGTGTTTATTCATTAAGTAAGTTTTTTTCTATAAGTAAAAATGATATTGATTTAGTTATGAATGAATGTGATTAAAATAGATGGAAGCTGTATTTTTTTAATTAATATAATATGAATAGGTAAAGGATAATATTAATTTTGAGAGCTGAGAGATTTTATATTAATAGTTTGGTACTAAATGGATATTATTGAAAGTAAGGTGATGCATATAAATTTTTTTATAAGAAATAGAAATGATTGCACATGAAAATTATAGAGTTTAATCACTGTAATTTATAGTAGAATTTTTAAATATTTATTGTTTGATGTTTATGCGACTTATTTTGCAGTACTCAAAGTTGTAGTGAATTTTGTATTAATATATATATAGGTATACGATATATTTTGTAATACGTGTGGATATATATATGCGTGTGTGTTTAATATTTTATTTTAGGAGATATAATGGTTTAATTTTTTATTGTTTATATTTTTGGGGTTTTGTTTGTTTGTTTGTTATATTTTTATTATTTATTTATTTATACACGTGTATATATATATGTATATTTAATATTTTATTTGAGCTTGTAAGATTGTTTAATATTGTTTTAGCGTGTCTATCTTTTCTAGTTTTGTTTGTTTGTTATCTTTGTGGTGTTCCTATTTGTCTTGTCATTCATGTGTCAGTGCGATATTTTTTTTTTTAGTTGCATCATGTATATTTTTGCTATATATATAAGGGTCCGGTTTTAAGTATTTGTATGTAAATTTCTGGTTGTTTGGTTATCTTTTTTTTATAGTTTTAGAGAAAAGTTTGTCTTTTTTATTTTGGTTTTTAGTGGTATATTTTCCAAATTTAAAATTTTTGAAATATTATCGAAGTAACATTTTTGAAATAGAGGGAAATTATCTTGTATTTTTTAAAACAATTAGTTGTATAATGCAAGCTAATACAAAGTGGCACAATTGAATTATATTTATTAGATACACACAAAATTTTTGTCGATATATATATAATTTTCAGAAAATCAATATTTTTGTCGATATATATATTTTGCTGAAAATGAATATATATAAAAAGCCACACAATTAATCATCACTTTGTATTGACCACATTTATGTTATGTTACTCAATCTTAAAATGCAAAAGCTTTAAGTTAATAATTCAATAGTAAACAGATATTATTAAAGTAACATTTTTGAAATAGAGGAAAATTATCCTATATTTTCAAAAACAATTGGTCATATTAGTGGAAGCTAATACAAGTGGCACAATTGATTTATATTTATTAGATATGCACAAAATTTCTGTCGATATATATACTTTCCAGAAAATCATTATTTTTGTCGACATATATATTTTGGAGAAAATGAATATATATATATATATATATATATATATATATATATATAAAGGCACACAAATAGGATGCAAGAATATATATAGATTTGTATAGTCAAAAAAAATCATGCCGCATTAGGGAATGGAAGGTAGCAGCTACACAGTTAGGGATGGCAACGGGTACGGGTGCCCGCCGGGGTAGAAATGGGGCGGGGTAGGGGCAAAATATTTCCCCCCGCCTTAAAATAGGGCGGGGGATGGGGCGGGCCCGTCCCCCGTAAAAAAAATATATATATATATATATACACACACACACACATAAAACAACCCTAAATTTCCTAAAACTACTCATTCACATCATTTGCCGACTGCCGCACGGTCAGGACCTTCCACCCTCTTTGTTCTGCGTTATTCTTCACGCTTTGCTTTCATCCGCTCTTGAATCCTTTATAGGTTTGCTCCCTTATCATTCTTATTTTGATAGATTAATGAAGCACACGTGGTGAATAAATGATTGCATCTGTGTCAATCCCTTTGCCGTGGTGCTTAAAGCTTAAGATTCCATTTTTGTCAATTTTTGTCAATTCCTTTAGATGTCTCTTTCCTTTGCCGTGGACCGTGGCACTTAAAACTTACTTTTGTTTTTCTAATACTTCACGTTTAGGTTGTTGGAGATTAAGAACTACCAATTGTAGTTTTGCTATTTGATTTTTCAGCTGATTTCCATCGTCTCACAAAATCATCCCGTTATTTTTGGTCTTTCCTTTGGCTTGGGTTGGTTCATTTTGGGCATTTTTTTTATGGGTAGATTGAGAACTCTAGCTAATGGAGTTTGATTTATTGTGCTATTTGCTTTTTTTGTGATCAGTCCATTTATTGTGCTATTTATTTTTTTGTCTTTGTAGATTTCTTATCACAATGAACTAGTCAAAAAATGTAATTGCATCTGAACAGGGGGATAATTCATCAACTCCACAATCAACGAATATTGAATCAATTTACTTGACAGATGCAGTAGAAAAAGATGAATATGAAATTGAAGGAGAAAAAAGAAAATTAAAATCGAAAGTTTGGGCACATTTTGATAGAGAGAAAGGTAAATATGGCATTTTTTATGGTACGTGCAAGTATTGTAAAAAGAAATACAAGACAAGTAGCACTCATGGAACCAATACATTGCATGATCATTACATAATGTGTGCTAAAAGGCCTAAAC